CAGTTCAGGTTTTTTACTTACCATATAGGTGTTTTAAGCATTGGTTTCTGTAAGTCTGTGGTGCTCGGAAGAACCTGTTGTTGTTTATTCACTGTTTTCAAATAATCCTCAGCAGATTTCTGTTTGCAAGTACAGAATGTAAAATGTCTGTTTTTAATAGTTTGTTGAATTTTTGATTAATATAAAAAGCTTGTAATCAGTATGAGTTTTTCTCACCTTGTTTGTAGTGTGGGCCATACAAATTGAATTGTCCAGGGTTTGAACATCCAGTGTTGTGGCCCAATCACTGCATTTGAGTTGTGCCAAATCTTTATGAACCTGTCATATAAAGTGTAAAGACTTAAACATGCAGCTGGAAAACAACTGTTAAGAAAGTTAGATGATTTTTAATAAGTATTTTGTCAAGGGAGTTTACAGGATGTTACGGTTTCAAGGGTGTGGTATTCTAATCAGTATTATTACTACTGTAGCTTGAATTTTWAAAAAAATGATGCTCAGACATTACCTGAATTAAAAACTTCCCCAATTTATCTTCGTTCTCACGTTTGTCAGACATTTTACACCCGTGGTCTGATAATTTAATCATACAACATTTCTGATGACAACATGTCCCAGGGAACCTGTATGAAAACTACTGAACACAAGGCGACGAGATATTTATCCTTTGTGCATAATTTTACCCGGAGTTTGACTGTCAGGTGTGAACCCGTCACGCAACAGACAAAATTTCCAAATTTCTAAACAGTTACCGGACATAATTTTATTTATTTTATTACTTTAATTAGTTTTGCACCAAAGGCCTACAAAATATATGCTTTACAAAGGGTATGTTTTCAGTGTGTTTTTTCCTTTAAGACAAAAGAATGGGATAAATTGCCACAAATGTTCCCTGGAATTTTGTCTTATAAATTTTATGTAATTATTTTTACATTATAACAATAATAAAAACGTTACATATACAATATTTGATTGAATGGAGTTTCTGAAACGTGGCAGATGTGTTAATTTTTCCAACACAACGTTGTAACGGAAGTGACGCTTCAGCGGAAGTCCGTCAGAGTTCAAAGGTCAAATAAATATCCTTAGAGAGCAGCTCGATCGTTAGCCTTCCTAGCAGCTGAAAAGGCCTCTAATTTTAAGAGAAATGTCTGCTACAGAGGAAAACACAGATATGATTATTCCATGTGTGCTTGTCACTAGCTGTGACAGCAAATTTAAAGAAGAAGAATTGATAAAACGTAAGTTATTTAAGCCAATCTGCAGCTAGGCTAAACAGCTAACCTAGCACAGCAGCAGGAAGAAGTGCCTTCTTGTGTGCCAATTTCTCGATGTGGTCACAACAGTGTTTTACTTCGTTTATTGAGTGGGATCGACGCAAAAAGAAAAACTGAGCAGTACTTTGTGTGTTTTATTTTGTTTAGAAATCCTCGGTTCAGAGTCTTTGCCTCAGCCAACCAAGCGAGACGAAGCGGTAGCCTGGTATTCTTGGACCATCAATAACAAGTATTATACAGCAGATGTGCGACTGTGTGCTGTACCAAACACTTACTCAATGTCATCTGAGATCGCCCAGTCCATGCAGGCTTTCATTGCTTACTTTGACAGTAAAGTGGTGTGTAATTTAAGAGCATAGTGTGCTTTCTAATGGTTTAATTTGTGTTTTGACTTTCCTATTGTGTAACTGCTGTTTACAGAAAGATGGACTAGAAAAGCTAAAGCTTTGGATTCCTGTGGTGGAAGACATCGCTCCAGAGGTGCTCATTCTTGTGTGTGACAGAACCGATGAAAATGGTTAGTAATGCGTGTCTGTTTATGTGTAGAAAATGATTGTGATGCATTGTGCGTAACACTGCAAATCTTTGTTTATTGTCTAGGTGTCACAAAGCATGAAGCACAGCAGTGGTGTTTAGCTCATGCATTTGAGCTTGTGGAGCTCAATCCGCTGGAACTGCCAGATGAGGATGGTGAGTTCAGCAAAAATGACCATCGATAATAACCTTTACATTCTTTGCGATTTTATTTATTTGTGATGTTTTTGCCTTCTTTAGATGACTTTCCAGAATCCACAGGAGTAAAGAGAATTGTCCAGGCTCTAAATGCTAATGTATGGTCCAGTGTGGAGATGAAGGAAGGTAAGTTTAAGTTGACTTTAACTTATTCGCATATAAGTGGGGACATTGGACCATTTATATTTCTGCTCTACAGGACACAATCAGGGTTTTGGTCTAATGAGCAGTTTGGTGGCTTCCAGGCATAACTCACGCCGCTGCCAGGATCCAACAGTGAGTGGAAAGTTTTTTTTTATTGTAACATTTTTATATGCATGCCTTTATGTAATGTACTTTATTTAGTTGCATGTATACTTTTKCTTTGAATAAATTTTTTGATACAAATTTGTTTTAAATTAAATCATCAGTTTCAAATAGGAAAGTTTTTGTGAAGATTAACCTAAGCTCCTTGACAGTCCTCCAGTTTGCCAGCAGAGGGCGCACTTCCTAACGTTACAGCCAACCAGACAGAGAATCACACAAAAGCAGACAGACAGGAGGAATCAGTAGTGGGCAAGTAACTATCTTTTTTTTTCAGCTGCGTTAGCTGATGTCATTTTCCCCAGATATAATTCCTGCTGCTACTATAATTAATTTGTACATAAACTGAATATTGTGTCGACTCCTGCAGATGCAATGACTGATTTAGACATACAGGAACTTGCCAATCTCACAGCTGGAGATGCAGATGTGGATAACTTTGAACGCCTCTTTACCAAATTAAAGGAGATGAAAGGTGATTAACTTTAAATGAGATTAATTTTATTCTGTTTATTGTCGTTATTTATATTTTTATTATTTTTTTTATCGTCTGCTGATTTTCATCCTGCAGATAAAGCTTCGTCATTACCTCACGAGCAGAGAAAAGTTCACGCTGAGAAGGTTAGCAATTTCCTTAATTGCCGCTTCAACATTTTTACTTAAGTTTTAGTGTAAATTAGTGACACTAAATTTGATTTCCAGGTGGCAAAAGCATTTTGGATGGCCATTGGTGGCGATGAAGATGAAATAGATGGATTATCTTCAGGGGAGGAAAGTTAAAGTCTGTTACCTGCGGTTCATTACTTCTGATTTCCTTCGCTCACACAAGAGTCAGCTCCCATGGACGACCTGCTCATGCTTGGAAAGTGGAGATGCTTACAGATACTGTAGGCATAGTTGTATTTAGAAAATCCTGATTCCTATAATAAAGAAATTGTTTTTAAAATGATGGATATTTTGTTCAGAGAAGCCATGAGTGTCTCAGATCTTAAGTCTTCCTCTCTGGGTCTCATTCTAGACCGTGATCCTCAAAATGTGATCGTGATGCAGGTGGAAAACGGTTTTGATTTCTGTGTTTGTAGGTCCAGTCTACAGATGTATTTGTTACATGTGCCTTATTCTGAGTTCTAAAAAGACAATTCACATTCAAATGAATCCACATAAAATCTTGTTTATTTTTTGTTTTTAGTGAGTACTGTGTATTTATTGTGAACACGATCCTTGAACATTTATGCTCAAATTTCAATTAAATGATGTAATAGAAATCAGAATAAAATGAGTAAGATATTGTGCCATAATGGTTATGTTCTTACACTACATTTGTGGGGAAGTAATTTTTAAAATGTCATTTTAAAAGAAACTACACAAACTAAACTGTAAACTGAGCAGAGGGTGACCTTTACAGCTCATTTAGGTGAGAAAGGATTTTAAACAAAAGAAAATACTTTTCTGTTGCATTTTATTAAAATTTTACATTTAAAAACAATTGCCATTAAAAGAAAAAAAAACAAGACTTGGAACAGAAAACWAACTGATACAGATTTCATTACATAATGTACTGTAGTGCACTGTTTTAGAAAAGCTCCACGTTGCAGTTTACATGGTGACTAAATGCAGATGAAGCAGTGACCAAGAACAAAGAGCATCCATTTGTTGTAACAACGTTCATGTTTTACAGAATTTAGGGACAAGCAAATTACCTCAACAACTAGAGCCACTTTAAACAGGAAGTGCATCACGGAGCATAGCGTGCAACATGTCAACTCTTAGTAGAAGGACCTTTGTCTTTATATACTTTAGAGATAAACAGCCTTTATTAAAACCATTTTAAGTCATATCAGGTCAAAATTCAGTCAGACCCCTCAGAGGAACAACACTGTGTCTAATGCTTCTGTTAGGACATAATAGCTGAAAATAATCCTGTTTCACTTTGTAGAACAAGGTGTAGAGAACTCATTTACAAGATTTAAGTCATTAAAGCAAACTTAATGAAAGTCAGGCCTACGCCAGACGTCAGTAAATTTATTTTTCTGAGCAAGATATTTTTATCGTATCGAGGCAATGATAAAAAAATATATTTCCGTGCAGAACAATATGCAAAAATAACTTATAAAATGTCTTTTTCATTAAAGAAAATAGTCTTATGTGTTCTCTTTCTTCCCTAAAATGGTGCTTTTTTTTCCTTTTGATGTTGATAATTTAGTGACCAAGGACTTGACGCTTTAATTTACGCAAGAAAAAGAATRTAGAGAAAGTACTTTGTACTTAATAAATATACTCAACCATTACAGATTTATTCTCCACGTATTACTGATAAATAAGCTCTAACATTTAATGAGTACAAGAACTGGTTCAAGAACCACAAATAGGACCACGATGGAAGTATTTCTTTTAGGTTTGGTTAATTCATAGAATTAAAAAAAATGTAGAAGACAAGCAACCTACAGCTACTTTATAGCAAACACGAGGGGAAAACATTTAAATCATTATGGAATAAAGCTACAGGCTAACATGTTCACATGAACAATGAGGAAAATTAGCTTCATCTTCTGAATCTGGCTCTGAATGGTTCCTAACGTAACGACCAAAGGTGGGAGAGAGCTTGTTTGAATGGCTGAAATTCGTATCATCCCTGACAAAAGTTTGACTTTTTCTTATGTGGTTTGCGCTCAGTGTGTTTGTGGCTGCTGTTCCTAGGACACACTGGAGCAGTGGATGCTGGGAGAGCCCATTTGTGTGAGAACCTTGTCCAGCCACTGCAAAGGACCGTTCAGATGGAGCTCTATCCAGCAGGGGGTGCTGGTCACCGTCTGGCGTCTGCAGGACACACAGATACAAAGTTATTTCTAATAAATTCAGTTATATTACATCATGGTATTATGAAATGTAAAGTTTGTGTTAATCATGCTGTAATTATTGTCACTGACGTTACCAGTAAAAACAACCCTACAGGTTATTTCTGGAGTCATTCAAGACTTYACTAGACATGTTCTCCTCCTAAGTGTTTGGTAATAGAAACACAACACGCACAACTCACAGTCCAGCGGGAAATCCCCCTTTTCACCCTCCCTCTCCATTTCCCAACACCACTGCATGCCTTCTGCATTCTTCCTCCTTTACTGCAAACTCACTGATACGCCCTCCTCCATGAGCTTCTTTTATTTAGCATAATCAGAATCAATCTTTTAACAGTTTATATTATATTTCCATTCAGCCGTAAATGTTACTAGTTATAAATAGTTCAAAATGTTTTAAAAAAATCTACCAAACATCTCACACGTTAGTTGTGGAAATTAATTCTTTTCAACAAATACTATGTACTGGAAACAGTCGATGTAAATGTCAAGCAGATTCATGGGCATAATTTGCAGCGGGGTTAGCGGGGCTATGACCCCCCACAATAATTTGATCCAGTCAATATTAGGGGTGTAAGAAAATATCGATACACTGAAATATCGCGATATTTCATTTCCCGATACTGTATCGATATTCTAAAGCCCTGTATCGATTTTTAATTAAGGTTTAAAATGTCAACTTTCCTGCCAACCGTTCATTTTTTTGTTGTAGTTCAGCCTCTGACCACTAGTTGGCAGCAGTGAGCCAGCCATTTGGCTCTTCTACCTCTTGAGCGCCAGAGAGTAAGGGTAGCATTAGCATTGTAAGTGAACATTAGCTTTTCTTTTTTTTCAGTAAGAGGTTTTTATTTAATAGAATTTTTGGACAAAAAAAATCGCAATATATCGCCTTGCTTACAGTATCGCAATATATCGGGGTATATCGTATCGTGACCCCTCTGTTATGATATGTATCGTATCGCCAAATTCTTGCCAATACACAGCCCTAGTCAATATAACCCCCCCTCCCAATAAAATTACACAATTTGCTCTAACAATTAAAATTRCCTGGTTTAGTACACAGCTGCACAGCACCAGGTAAATACATACTCTTGGAAAACTGAGCAAGTAGGTATGTCGTAATACATCCTAAAAATGTAAAGTATTTGTTCCTGTTGGAAAAAAATGGGGGCAAAAATTAAGCTTTTTCTTGATTGTTGAACTGAAGTGGAACAGAAATGTTCAGAGTAGATACAAAGAAAACTGGAGAGTTAAGTAAATCACAGGAAAAGTGTTACATTATATTTTAACCCCCAAAATACCCTGAACCGTTTTACATAAGTAAACGATTCAATAAATAAATAAATAGGCAGACAGCGTAACACCCCCACCCCCTCAATGGTAGACCTAAAGTTACGCGCTTAAGCAGATTCAATACGTTCAGCTGAAGGTGATCCAAAATATTTACCTGTACTCTGCTCCCCAACCCTTCACAAAACTCATGCGAATGGTGCACATCCTGGTGAGCTGGTAAACAGCCTCAAAGCCCTGGTTAACCGACTGAGCGAGGAGGGATGCAAACTCCTGGTTGTTGAAAATCTTTAGGTTGCAGCCTGACAAAATGTTACCAAACAAAGGACAAGAACAGTCAGCGTGTACGGTGCATTTAAAACTCATCAGATTAGTTCCTGGTATTTAGATGAATCAATCTCAGGCTGACCTGGAGGTATTTTGCAGACGGTGGCAGGATGCCACCTGTAGYGCTGGTTACAGTTTGGACTTTGAACAAAGATGGCGCTGTCACTAAGACACTCTGCAAACACTTCTCCCCCAATGTAGTATAACCTCACACCTCGTCCTGGAAAGAGGACAGAAAACATTACAGCTAGGTGCACAGATTTCTGCTCCTACTGAGCGCAGTACTATCAGAGGGCTTGCTGTACCTATGTGTCTGCGTGTGAGCTCCACTGCGGAGTTGCGGTTGACGTTGGACAGCAAGCCCAGACAAAAGCGTTCCGAGTTGGAGGGATCAGTGAACCCATCTACTGTGAGGGAGGGCTGGGAGGCATGGAAGGTCTCTCCAACACGCTGGTTCAGTTCATAGTAGGAGATGGAGCACCAGAAGGCAGATTCGCAGTACGTCACTGGTTGTAAGTCTAGATTGGTGGAAAAATGAAGAGATTATAGAAMCAAGCTCAAGTTTAGTCAATCTGCACAGTCTGTGTAGTGATAAAACACCTCCTTAACAGATATTTTTATAGTTTTCTATCTGATCAACACTGAAGCAGACGCCACCAGTGAAAATGCTCTGGTGATGTCTCACGCACTGTTTACTAGGATGTTGCACTTTTGTACTATACACCTATTTTTAGATTCTCTAACCTTACACTCTGGACTGTCATAAATGACACCAACGTGAAAATGAAAAGCATTCAGCTAACCACGATGGCAAGTCACAGTGTTCACAAAAAAATAAAAGTGAAAAATAGAAAGCAACTGAAAATGTTTTAATTTAACAAAACACTTAATGAAACATATTGCTGATTCATCTCAACAGGTGTAGTTTCTGAATCATCAGGTAGAGTCAAGTGGAGCTGGGATCTGTATCCTTCAGTCAGCTGAACAAAAAGGATGCCTATTTCAATCAATTTAAATTCGTAACGTGGTTGATTCCTCAGTTTTATGCAAGAATTTTAAAAAAACAGCGACATTTGAATAATAAAATGAATATTTGCCTTTCTRTTTAGATTTAGTAGTATTTTAATTTAAACACTGACTTTTTTTTAACCTCACCCAGGAGTCTTTGCAACTTGTGAACGAACCATAATATTTTGGATTGCACTGCTTTTTTTTTTTTCTTTCAGAAGAGACAGAAAAAGAAAGGTCTAGCACAGGCATATGTATTGTGAGGATCCAAAAACTGTTAAAAGTGACATGATTTGAGTAAACTGCAGCAAAGCTTAGTAGCAATCATAGGTGTTTTTTAATTACCTGTACATCAAAAAATAACAGGACAACAGGTAACTTCACAATGTTAATTTCATGAAAAGTTAAAACCTTCAATTAAAAACAAATTAGTGTCATTACAAACCAATGACTGATATTTGTAATGTGCCTCATTATTGTCTCATGTTACCTAACAAGAAGAGTATACTGGGTTGACCAAGAAAGGCTGATCTTTTAGCTTACCAAGGTTTCCGTTTGTGGGGGACACAGGATTGGGCGACAGGCTGGGTGAACCTGGAAAACAAAAGCTTGGTTCATGATAGGGCTACTTAGCAAAGTGTGAGTTTTAGTGATGTCTTCAGTCGTTAGACTCACTTGTGTCCATGTTGTGACTGAGTTGATGATCACTGGTCTCACCATCCTCACTCAGATATCCCGGTGTGGGAGTTTCTGTAACATAAAAATACTGACAAAGATTATGCTCAGTCTCTTTATGATCAAACTGGCTGTTAAAACAGGTCTTTTTCTGCCTGTGGAAACAACAAAAGCAAAGAAAGCATCAATGACCTAGAGTGGTGTTTTTTTCTTACAGCCAAGCTCCTTGAACCTTTAGTTTACTTGCACCTATAGTTTTTTTTTAAATCGAATGTACTTATTGTTTTTAATGTGAGGTACAACATGTCTCACCAGCATTGTAGTTGCCATGAGGCTCAATGCCAGAGGGGAAATTGGTATTTTCAGGGATAGAAGATCTGTAGTCATCCAGCGGTGGAAACTCAGCAGGAATATCTGTGTGGCGTGGCACGAGGACAGGAGGTAAAACTGGAAAGACACATAAAAGTCACTTTATATCAGTTCACAGTTTGCTAAAAGAATCCAATAAACCATCTGACAAAGCAATCGATTCACTCACCTGGAGTCTCCACCCTCTGGTAATGGTAGGGGTTGACACACACTTCATCCTTCTTGGTGTGGAAGGCAAATTCACAGTGGTCAACGGCCCTCAGCTCATGATGGGACTGCAGGTCTGGCCAGCGCCACAGGCGACAGTAAATCACATGAGGAAGACCTTTTTTGTGAGAGACCTGCAGACGTCCATCCAAAGACCTGAGAAACAGCACCAACACGTCACGTCAGTCCAGTTAGATGTATACTTTATTTCCCCACACTGAGGTCATTCAAAGAGCTCTCTACAACAGATAATCATCAAAACGTACGCATCATAAGAAACTCATCAGTGATCCCTCATCTAAATCTGATTCTAATTATATGAAACTTCTGTTGGAGTAAAACAAGTGGTTTTATTTTCTGAGAGAATGAACTGTTCTTTATTTATATCAATACAAAATTTAGAATTTATTTATGTTGTTTTTTTTATTTTATTTGTTTTAAAGAAGATGGCATGTTACAGGTATGCTAAAATATGCTAAAATAATAACCTCTTGGACTGTTTTCACTTTCTGGTTAAAAAAATAAACATTTAATTTAAAACTGTAAGTTTTATTTTCTTTAGATTATAAGCATTGATGGTATCAACAATGAACTTTGACTTTGTCATGAACTCACAATAAATGACATAATAAAATGATACCAAAATGTAGGACAGCTGAAGTACAAAAGTCACTGCACACTGTTCCAGAGACAGATAAAACAGCTGTTATTCTCTAAAATGGCCTAAAAACAAACTGAGATTGAACCATAATCCAAACAGTGGTCCACACCCTCCTTAAAGCCTAGAGCACATTCCAAAGAACTGAGAATATGCTTTTAATCTAGGTTAATACCCATGTTCTGACTATATAACATAATGGTGGACTTACATCTTTGTTTGTAAGTGGGGATTAACTGATTGATTTTGTTTTTTCTTTAAAAAAATGGGAGAACATCAGTCGGGTGTTTGCTTCTGTACTAATCAGACCAACAAAGAGATGCACACATTAGAGAAAAACTGTAAGTCTTTTTGTTAAAGGATCAAAAACTTAAAAAATCATTAATAAGTAACCAAAATAAGCAACTCGAGTGATCAACTCACAATGTTCGTTAATAAAAATGCTTCCAATGCCTGCACAATATTACAGTACACCATGTGAGATCATCTTAAATGTTTATGTTTTACGGGGAATCCCACCTTCATCCAACTTTCCCAGAGAGCAACCCTCCAGTCTAAACATCCTCTGTGAGTCAGGGTTAAGCTTGGCCAAATCTCTCCTCCTGTGTTTTATCACACATGTGGACTGTTCACATGTTTATATAGCCAGTGTGCTGCAGAAACCTTACTGGAAGATGCCTAAAGACTGGACAACTGCTTAGATGTTATTAAAAACTGCACAAAGTTGTGCTTGTGACGAGAAGAACCCAATTTTATAAATACAAAACAAGCTAGTAATATTTCAGTTTGGAAAAATAGTAATGGGCTATTTCATGTTTAAATAATAACGTGGCAAAAAGCTTGTTAATTTCAACCAATAAGCTCCATTATGGTGGCTAATGCCAATAATAACTACCAATGTATACAACCAGTTCAGTTAAAAAAAATCAACTGTGCCCCTTTAAATGTTTTACACTTTTTATTAATATTATAATGTATATTAAAACTGATGCAATAACACTATATTTAACTGTTAGCTAGTATTAGCTCAATGTAGCTGGCTAGCTACTTGGCTACAATAGTTGTGTGTATTTGGCTAACCTTAGCTAGCATTAGCAATAGCTCGATGCCAACCAGTTTAGCCTTACCTGGGTATGGTTAAGCATTTGGTGCTGACATTCTGTGTTGTGATGGCTTTTTCCAACTCGTCTAACTGTCCCGTCCTCTTCAGCTTCTTCACCAGACTTTTGACAGCCTTTTCGCACCATTTCTCCTCCAGTCCGTTCTGCTCTCCTTTCTTCCAGCCGAGAAGCCTCTTAACAATCGGAGGAGTGAACGGCAAAATAGACATATTGGATTTGAACTGGTTGCACTGAGTGCTCTGCATTATAGTTCAAAGTTGCACAAAAAAAGTACAACAGTTCGTTGTTTCTGTAATGAGGTATGACTTCCACGAGTTAGCGGACTGAACTCCCGGAGACAGGCGGTTTTGCTGCCTGGGACCCGGCGGCGGCGGCAGCAGCAGCGGGCGGCTTGCGTCGCAGGTTCACCCCCGATCAGATTAGCTGTGTGTGGATGTGGAGCAGCAGCCGAGCAGAGACGGGCTGTCCGTCTGTCAGACTGCCCTCCTCCAACACCCCACCACCAGTCAGCTCTGCCTTCTGCCTCTACCTGAACTCCTCCATCAGCACTTTGCACCACCACTGCAAGCKTGCAGGTTGTTTTCTGGATTTAAAAAAAAAAACACTTCTCAGTTTAGCACATTTTCACATTTGTTTATTTCTTAGACAAAAGCAATCGACTAATCTTTTTTTGCAACCACTCTTAGTGAAAACTATAAAACAATGCGTTTTTAACATTGAATATTTGAGAATTCCTTAAGTAATGTGTTTCTTGCAAGAACTTTACTAAAACCATTTCATATGACAGGATTACGGCTGTTTAGGTCAAGTCTTTTAAATCACGTTATGTGAGATCTCGCGAGATGTGACAGCGCTCAGAGAATGTGAGGAGGATGACTCTCAGCCACTAACGTCCCAGAGTTGCTGTCACAACTCTGAAAAGTGATTTAACTCTAGAAAGTATTGCATCCATCAATTCCTTTGATCCTCCCATAAAAAATATTTAATTTCACACACAGTGTATAACTTCCACCTTACATAAATAGCCATCAGGTCCATCACTGCGTCACCGCAATAGTGAACACCTCCACAGCTTATAGCTGAAATGTGCTGATACACATGTGAAAATATGCATCTTCTAAAAAAAAGTCATACTGTCCAGGATTTTAATCACAAATTTGATCAAATATTAAATTTGAATTTATGTGTCAGGACAAACATACATATAAATGATGCTTTTAGACATCCTGTTTTGTCCAACAGTTTGTCATAACATGGCGAAGGTTATTGCTAATAAAATAATACACTTGTGGGATTTCTGTTCACTACAACTTTACACATTTATGATTTATATGTTATGTGTTGATAAGCTGCTTCACACTATAGGGAAAAAGTGAACAGATATAATGAATTGATTTATTCCAGAGCTGCACTTCTTACTGTGTGGGAGAAGAGCTGGACAGCTGGTGAAGAAAGCTTTTGTGTGAAAGGAATGGAGGGTTTAAGCAACGCGTTTCAGACATGGGGGGGCAGATGGGCTACAGAGAGCCGGAGAAGGTCTCGGGAACAGATTGTTGAATGAATGAGGACAAAAGGCACRGCGGCTGGCTGAATAAGTGTTGGCTGCAGACAATCTAATGGATAACAATAGCACTGTGGAGAATCACTCCTGGACTAGTGTGGGAAACAAGCATGATGTGTCCGAGAGGCCAAATCTGCTGAGTGACAGTCAAATATTCTTCTGCCTCATAACATTAAAACACTTCTTAGTTTGTGTAAAATCAAACATGGCTCAACTTCGTCTACCAGATGCAATTACAGCTCTGCTGAATGGATGATACCTTTCCATATATTATATAAGTTCAAAAATTATAAGTAGGTCACATTTACTCTTCACCAACCTATAATTACTGAACAGCTGATTGCAGAGCTGGATTTGCACATAGGTGTTTTTGTACCACAGCCCCTTGGGTGGGGTTCAGTCCCCCACTATAATCTCTGCCCTCCACCCCCCTTTTTAATCTCTTTTTTGCTACAAACTGTTATCTGCTGCTTGCAGCCATCAATCTCTCTCCAGACTGTGGCACCTCTGAAATCTGGGGCAGCAGTGACTTTGCTCTCCCTCTTTTCTGACTCAAACCAAGACGCTGCWAAATCCTCCTCCTATAGCCTCAAAACTAACACAACCTACCTATAGATTTTTGGTTATCAATAAAATCAAAACACCAAGAAAACAGTTATGTCTGCAGAAACAAGAAACCACTGAAAGGGACTTTTTTAGAACAATCTAAAAACCAAAACATAAATAAAAAAGAGAGAAATTACTTTTTACAAAAAAATACTGTGTGAATACTGTGTAAAGAAAAAGCTGAAAAATGAGGCATTGAAGCTCAAAAAAGCAAAACATGAGCTAAAAGGCTAATAGCAAAATGAAGGCTATATCTAGTAGCTAAAAGTTGCATCAGTAACAAATTGCTAAAAAAATATATCAAAAGCTAAAAGTTAAACTAAATGTAGCAAAATGCAATCTTAAAGCTGAAAGTAACAAAAGGCTAACTAAAACCTTAAAGTAGAAAAACAACAGCTGAAATCTATAGCATAGGAAATTAAATGAAAGTTAAAAGTGATTGACATCTCTTTAGAAGACAAAATAAAATAGAAAGAAATTTGCTGAAGCAGATTTTAAAAGGGAACAGTGTTTTTTGCAGGAGCYGGATATTTTAATAGATGACTGATTAAAATATTACAAAGTACACGGTGGTTTCATTGCAAAATGTGTACAGAAAACAAAACAAACAGGAAAAAAAGCCCAGAAAAAACCATGGTGTAAATGCTGAATCAGCATTCAACATTACAAATAAATATATTTAAAAATCATTTTTTAAAAGAACCATTATACGCACTTTATTATAATATGTTTATTCATTACAAAATACTATTTTATGTTTATAGAAATTAAATTGAATTTTTTTTTAAAAAAAGGCTTTATTTATCTTATCAGTTTGTGCCTTTGCTTTAATCCAGAGTATATCATTATGTACCTTACTGCCACCTAGTGGCCTTATTATTTTCCTACAACAAATATTGGCAACAAATTCTGTAAATGTTCATTACAGTGCACAAGTTTTACTGCAAAAATATCACTTTATGTATATGTTTTTTTAAATAAATAAATATTGGTTCTCTGATGTAATAAACTTTTTTATCGCATGCATGTCTTAAAATGACTAAAGCAATCATATGAATGGATATTTGGTTTAGTTTGAATTTAATGTTCTGTTGTTTTGCATCACTGTCACTCAAGATAATCAACATACACCTTAAACTTTGCTGATATATATATATA